ATGACTAAATTTTGATCCCTAAAATTCTTGGTTATACCAATGTTCACTTTGTCTGGTTTTGTTGCAGTATGCCCCATTTTAAAATAAAATTAATAACATATTAATAATATTTATAAATTATCCTAATTCTTTATTAATTTATATACTTCAAATTTTTCTAACAAATGAATTATCTTATTGCTATTTTTAAGATTTAAATTTTTTTTGTATCTATTAAAGTGTTTATGATAATAATAACAATAAAGCTCATTATTAATGTTAATGTTTATGCCTAAATCAAGAAAGTCTATTAACTTTTGATGAAATTTTATATTACTAAAAGTACTCGTAGTAATTATATTATTATTATGATATATTGCATTTTTGGGATTTTTGACCCTACTCAGTATTGAATTAATAATTTGATTTTGCTCAATTTTAAAAATAAAACTTTTATCAGTTTCAATATAATAACCATAATCTTCATTTGGAAATTTTTCTTTTAAATTCCAGCCAACTGGATTATATCCTCCAACTAATTCTCCTGTCTCTTTAAATTTCATGATAACAATTGTTTGTTCAATGTTGTAGCATTTCTCCTCAAAAACTGACCTTGAAAATCCATCTCGAAAACTGCTAAAAATCAATTCAAATTTATATGGTAAGTTATTGTTTTTGTTATTTATATCATATTCTGCTATCACACCATCTAAGACTTGTAAAGACCTTTCCACTTCTCCAGTAAAATCCATGTGACCAGGGGTGTCATCAACCCAGTTAGATATTAAGGATTTCATTTCTGAATTTAATAATTTACTTCTTCCTTTCCTTGGCCCTCTTTGAAGTAACAATTTTGGCTGCCATTCATTACTAAGATAGTATTCAAGAATTTCTTTATAAAATTCTTTATTAAAAATTTTTTTAAATGGTTTAATTTTTTATAAAAATCATCTGAAGATATTTGATCAAATCTAATTAACATTATAATATTCTCTAATGCATTTTTTAACTGTATAAAATCATCTTCATCCCACTCTGAAATATCTTTAATATCTTTTCTCAACTCTTTGTTATTTTGCCAAATTCCCCATTGAATAACATAATCCCAAATTTCAACTTCTCTTAACTTAAGATCATCTTTTTCCAATATAGTTATAAGTATTGGTTTTTCAATATCAGTGAAATCATCAGATTCCAAAAATAATTCTGGATTTTCATTACAATAATCCTGAAGCAAGTTAAATGAATATTTTGATGAAATTTCATAAAGATAAATTAAGTTCTGTTGAACCCAATTTTCTTTTTTAATGATTAAATGTTTTTGTAAATCCTCAATTAATTCAGTGAAATCTAATTCATCACAAGCTTCCAACAGTTCAAGAATTTCATCTGGGTTGAAATCATCAACATTAACAATCTCCCCATTATAAATATACCTTTAAAGATTTTTTTGCTTTTAGATATATTTTTTTTAAACTAAAAAAAATTAATAACAATAATAAATTAAATAAATATAATTCTTACAATAATATAACTTCAAATATTTTTGGAGAGATATTTTCTTTTTCAAATAAATTAATTCCATCTTTGGATTTTTTTACCCAATTATTGGATAATGCTACTTTAAAATATGAAGATTTTGCTTTCAAAATATTAGAATGGGCTTTGAAAGTTTTAACATCCTCATCTTCTCCAACTTTGATTTCCACATCATAATAATCTAATTCATTCAACAAGTTTGTTAAAACATTTAAAGCCATTTTGGATAATAAATAATATATATTTTTTCATGTTGCAAAAACTTTCATTTGGATAAATAATATTACACAAAAACACAAGAAATTTATTTATAAAATAAATAAATGATTATATTTATAAATTATCCACTTTATTTACTAATTTATATACTTCAAATTCTTCTAAAAAATTAATTCTATTTTTAATATTTAAACTTTTTTTGTATCTATTACAATGTTCATGATTGTAATAACAATAAAACCCATCTTTATAGTTAACGTGTATGCTTAAATCAAGAAAATTTATTAACTTTTGATGAAGACTCATTACTATTATGATATATTGCATATTCAGGATTTTTAACCCTACTCAGTATTGAATTAATTATTTGATTTTGCTCAATTTTAAAAATAAAACTTTTATCAGTTTGAATCCAATAATCATCATCCAGAGACTTTCCGTTTTAAATTCCAGCCAACCGGATTATATCCCCCAACTAATTCTTCTGTGTCTTTAATTTTCATGATAAAAACTGTTTGTTCAATACTGTAGCATTTCTTCTGGAAAACTGCTCTTGAAAACCCATCTCGAAAACTGCTAAAAATCAATTCAAATTTATATGGTAAGTCATTGTTTTCATTATTCATATCATTTTTCTCATCAATCCAAATGGATATTAAGGATTTCAATTCTGAATTTAATAGCTTCTTTTTTCCTTTCCCTACTCTTGGTCCTCTTTGAAGTAACAATTTTGGATGCCATTCATTACTAAGATAGCATTCAAGAATTTCTTTATAAAATTCTTTATTAAAAATTTTTTTAAATGGTTTGATTTTTTTATAAAAATCATCTGAAGATATTTGATCAAATCTAATTAATGTTATAATATTCTCTAATGCATTTTTTAACTGTTTAAAATCATCTTCATTCCACTCTGAAATATCCTTTCCCAACTCTTTGTAATTTTGCCAAATTCCCCATTGAATAACATAATCCCAAATTTTAATTTCCTTCAATTTAAGATCATTTCTTTCCAATATAGTTATAAGTATTGGTTTTTCAATATTAGTAAAATCATCAGATTTCAAAAATAATCTTGGATTTTTATTACAATAATCCTGAAGCAATTTAAATGAATATTTTGATGAAATTTCATAAAGATAAATTAAGTTTTGTTGGATCCAATTTTCTTTTTTAATGATTAAATGTTTTTGTAAATCCTCAATTAATTCAGTGAAATTTAATTCATCACAAGCTTTCAGCAATTCAAGAATTTCATCTGGGTTGAAATCATCAACATTAACAATCTCCCCATTATAAATATACCTTTAAAGATTTTTTTGCTTTTAGATATATTTTTTTTAAACTAAAAAAAATTAATAACAATAATAAATTAAATAAATATAATTCTTACAATAATATAACTTCAAATATTTTTGGAGAGATATTTTCTTTTTCAAATAAATTAATTCCATCTTTGGATTTTTTTACCCAATTATTTGATAATGCTGCTTTAAAATATGAAGATTTTGCTTTCAAAATATTAGAATGGGCTTTGAAAGTTTTAACATCCTCATCTTTTCCAACTTTGATTTCCACATCATAATAATCTAATTCATTCAACAAGTTTGTTAAAACCATTTTGGATGATAGTTTATGTTGCAAAAATTTTCATTTGGACAACTAAGATTATACAAAACAAAAAATTTACTAACAGATAATATATCAAAATAAAATAAATTATAAATATACGTATCTATATTTATAAATTCTTTATTATTATATTTAGTAATTTACCGTAAAGTCTGGAAAGATAGCACCCCTACTTTAAAACAATTGAGCGTCAATATAAAAAAATTGTTACACATATGCAAAAAAGGGGATGCTATCTTTCCAGACTTTACGTTAACAAAGGATAAAGGTTAATGTAACATACATACGTCAAAATTTTTTTTTCTAGATTTTCTAAATAAATGTAGGTCGAAATAAAGTTTTAAAAACATATTGTTACTAGACCGTGCTTTTATAACAAAATAATAGATACGTAAAGGTACCCAATTTTGGTTGAAAGAATCCATAATGGGTAAAAAAAGACCATAATAAGAGACTTTTTTATGACTTACTACAAAACGAAGACACAAATGTTTGTAATAACACCAAAAAAATATGAAACTTGAACTTTCCTAGCATAGTAGAAGTTTGTTGTTACACGAAACGTTATACAGAACTCATTGCTTCTGAAACTTCGCCAGTATGTAGTTGTTACCTCTCTAAATTGGAGATCAAACTCAGATCCAATTCAAATCCAGTTTATCACTTACTTTTTATTGCCAGAATGTTTGTCGTAAAGCTACGTTGCACAATATAAAAAATTAGTGTAACAT